TCTATCGATAAAACTAAACAATGACAATTATACAGTATGGAAAGCACAAATGGTGCCTTATCTTTATGGCCAACAATTATGCTCCTTGCTTGATGGATCATATCCTTCCCCTCCTCTCACCACTGAGTCTGGTCAACCCAACCCTAAGTATCACAAATGGTTCCATCTTGACCAATTAGCTCTTTCCATTATAATTTCTTCACTCTCTGAGTCACTCATAAGACAAGTGATCAAACACAAGACCGCACGTTCAATGTGGCTGGCTCTTGAAAGAATGTTCACTCAAAAAAATCAGGCACGGCTACTTCACTTACACAGTCAGATTCCTAATTTAAAAAAAGGAGGAGATTCTATTACTGAATATTACAAAAAAGCAATGTTGCTTTCTGAATCTTTGAGTATTGCTGGCAAACCTGTTACTGATTCTGAGTTCATTACTTACATTTTAAATGGTCTTGGCCCTGAATATGATTCGGTTGTAGCCTCTGTTACTACAAGAGCTTTGGGCCTTGTGTCATTAGGCTGAACATTATAGTTCTGTTCTTCAATTTTCTACTTGTTTTTGAAATATCTGAAAAATCCTAGGGACATCTGATTTGAGGCGAAGAGGGAAAAACCAAGTATATTTAGTATAATCATCAACAAAGAAAATATAATATTTATAACCTTCAATGGACAAAACAGGGGCAGGACCCCAAACATCGTACAACCTGCCCCTACTCTCATGCTCAAAATGGTACAGTTGAAAGAAAACACCGACACATTGTTGAATCTAGCTTAGCCTTATTAAATCATGCGTCTCTACCTCAAAAATTCTGGGTACATGCTTTTGCTTCAGCTGTCTATTTAATAAACAGATTACCTTCACCTTCTCTTAACTACAAATCACCATATCACCTCCTTTTTCATCATTCTCCTGATTATACTTTTATGAAAGTTTTTGGCTGTGCCTGCTGGCCTAATTTGCGTCCTTATGTCCGTAATAAGCTGGAACCACGATCTGTACTGTGCATTTTTTTGGGATATGCTAATAATTATAAAGGTTATTTTTTTATTGAACCCAAGACCAGTCGTATGTATATATCACGTGATGTTCTATTTGATGAACATAATTTTCCTACAACTAATTTTTCTATTCCTTCTCCTCCTTCTGAATTTCCAAATCAGCCCACTTACACTATATTACCTAATCTACATTTCCAGACCAGCCCATCATATACACATTCTTCTTCTTCAAGGCCCAGCCCAATAATACATCCCACTCAGACCTCACCTTCCTTTTCAGATCCCTCACCCACTATACCTCCTCCAACCTTTTCTCTCTCTCAAGTTTCACCGTCTCCGTCCTCTTCCTCGTCTTCCCCTTCTCTGACACCTTCGTCGCCTGCTCCACCTGCTCTGACCGTTCACCCTTTGTCTCGTATGGTCACTCGTTCCCAGACCCACACACTCAAGCCTAAAACCTTTACAGATGGTACAATCAGATGGCCCCCACCAAAAGCTTATAGTACCAGTGTCAACTCACCACCCGATGCACCTACCTCCGTAGCCATTGCTCTGAAATTTCCAGAATGGCGATCTGCTATGGAAGATGAGATAACCGCACTTCACGCCACTGGAACCTGGGACCTGGTTCCTCCTCCTTCAAATCGTCCGATTATCATATGTAAATGGGTTCTGCGGAAGAAATATCGAGCCGACGGGACCCTTGAGAAATATAAAGCCCAATTGGTTGTGAAAGGCTTCCATCAAACACCAGGTATTGATTTCTATGATACATTCTCTCCGGTTGTTAAGCCCTCCACGATTCACATACTTCTGTCCTTGGCTATTACTTCTGGTTGGTGCATGAAGCAAATAGATATACAGAATGCCTTTTTACATGGTTTTCTTGAAGAAGAAATTTACATGAAGCAACCTCCAGGATTCAAAAACTCTAAATTTCCTCCTCATTATGTTTGCAAGCTTCGCAAGTCTATTTACGGACTTAAACAGGCTCCACGAGCCTGGTTTTCTCGACTCAGCTCATGTCTCACAACTTTGGGTTTTATCCCCTCCCAATCTGATTCCTCTCTATTTATCAAGAAATCTGCCTCGTCTGCCCTTTACCTCCTGGTTTATGTTGATGATATTTTGCTCATTGGCACTGATTCATCCTCTGTGAATGATTTTATTCAACTACTTAGTCATCATTTTCCTGTTAAAAATCTTGGCAATCTGAATTTCTTCCTTGGAATTGAGGCTAACTCAACCGATCAGGGTCTCCTTTTAACTCAAAGAAAATAAATTGTTGATTTGCTTCACAAAACAAATATGCTTTATTGCAAACCTATGACCACTCCTATGGCATCTGGAAGAAAATTATCTGTGCTAGATGGTAAGATTTTTGAGGATATCACTCTATACAGAAGTGTTGTTGGGAGCCTACAGTATCTGTCTTTCACTAGACTGGATATCTCTTATGCGGTTAATAAGGTCTGTCAATTTTTACTTGCACCTCAAGATACTCATTGGATTGCTGTTAAGAGAATCCTACGTTATCTGGAACATACCATTGATCATGGCCTCTTAATACGCAAGTCCCCTTCCTCTTCTTTAACTGCTTTTTCTGATGCTGATTGGGCTGGGTGTTCTGATGATAGGAGATCTACTAGTGGTTTTTGTGTGTTTTTTGGCAGCAATTTAATCTCTTGGTCTGCTAAAAAGCAACAAACTGTTGCTAGATCTTCCACCAAGGCTGAATATCGTTCACTTGCCTTAGCCACTTGTGATTTGATTTGGCTTCAGTCCTTACTAAAAGAATTGGGCATCTTTTTGCCCAAAGCTCCAACACTGTGTTGTGACAACATTGGTGCTACATATCTTTCTGCCAATCCTATTATGCATGCCATAACCAAACATGTTGAATTAGACTATCATTTTGTGCGTGAGAGAGTTGCTGCTAAAACCCTCAATGTTGTCTTTTTGCCTTCAAAGTTTCAGATAGCAGATGTGTTCACTAAGCCTCTTCCAGCTCCAAGATTGCAACTACTACGTACAAGCCTCACAGTTCTTCCACTAATCAGCTTGAGGGGGGCTGTTGAAGAACAGAACTATAATGTTCAACCCAATGACACAAGGCCCAAAGCTCTTGGGTCACACTGATTTATTATCTGATTGAAGGGCCTATTATAGCTTTTCTAGAATCTTGTATTAGGACAACGTGTCTTATTTTCTTCCTCACCTGTATCACTTTCTCACCGCCACTACACATTATATATATCTGTGTATTCCTACCATTCCTGCAATATAGAAAATCATATTCTACAATATGAATATTGTTGATCCTTTTGTGACTCTATACCTCATTACAGGGAAGACTTTATTCACTATTAGTTCACTCCCACACGACAAGCTTGAATTCAACGTTGTGTTGGATGAAATTTCATCAAACAAGTATGTATCCATAGCTGATCATTCAATATTAAACCTAACGTGTGTCGATTTTCTTACAACTCAGTACTACATGATCTTGTTTTTCTAATCAAAACTCGATAGCAAAGAAACAGCTTCACCGAAGTGCTGTGTTCTGATTAATCGCCTCACTTTGTACATTTTATTTTCAGGGTTGGAAGGAATGGAATCCCTGACAACACAGAGGGAACTGTTAAATTCGAGACATTTAAGGTGGAGATCAAACATGTAAAAAGAATCCCAGTCAGCGATGTAGAAACCAGTTCCCCGGAAGCATTTCGTGCTCTGAACATCATATTAATTCAGCATGCAATAAATCAGTATGTTAAAATCTGAAACTTGTTGAGGTGTTTTCATTGATTGAATGTTTCCGTTTACCTTTTCGTCCTTATGATTTTCCAGGGGCTGTCTACGTGTGCGCCAATCTTTCTTCCATGACGGAAAGGAATATTGCAAGGATATTGGAGGTGGTGTTCAATGTTGTCGTGGCTTTCATTCAAGTTTCCAAGTCGCTCAAAAGGGCTTGTCCCTAAAAGCTGGTAATTTTTTCACTTGAAATGCCTGGGAAATTATGTTCATACGTCACGTTTCTCTTTTTCTGATATTTGGTATTGCTTTAAAGATGTGCCAACAACATTGATTCTAAGGCCTGGTCCAGTGTTGGAATTCCTCTACATGAATCAAAATGTTAATAGTCCCCGTTTGATTGATTGGACCAAGGTAATGTTACCAGCATTTGAACTTTCGCGCGCGCGCGCGCGCTCATAAGGCCCACAGAAGAATGAATCATAAATCTGCCTTGGGAACCCAATCTCCACTCTATCTTTCATATTTTGTCATTGCTTCAAGTTGATTTTAATTGAAACATGTTCCAAACAAATGTTTTTATTTTCAAAATTTGTCTTTAAAAAAATTTATAAAACTCTTATTAAAACATAAAAATAGAAAATACAAACAAACAAACAAAGCCTTAATTTTTAATTCACATATAACTCTATCTATTAAATATGATTCGGCTCATTTTTTACTCACCAAAAACTTGGTCCCTAATCTTTGAAGAATTTATACGTGTATCTTTTGTCATCCATATAACTCATTTTCATATAACAGCAAAAAATTAAGACTTAACACCATATCATGAATTAACATTGGTTGAAAATGCTGTTTGGAATTACTTTATGAATCAACATTGGTCATTGGGAATCTCTTTTTTATGTCTTTCTGTTGTTTGTTTTTGTTTTGTTTGTTCTTTTTCTTGTTTTAGATGTTCTAAGTCGGCCTTTTCCTTTGATTCAATTGGGCTTCGCGCAATTTGATCAAATGTAACTGATCAGCCTTTTTATATAATCATTTTACTTACATTGAATAAAAGTCTTTTTATTAAAAACAAAACAAAACAAAAGAAGGATAGGCCTAATTTTGCAGTAACATGATTTATGGTGAAAAAGACAAATAAACCCCCCATTCAACTTATGTCAATTCAGTCAAAGTTACCAATCTGAAATTTGAGGATGTTGTTGGATTAATTACCATAATGTCGTTTGGCATTTGAAAAGAATAACAATAATTCATTGCGTATTCACCATAGCCCATTAATTAGGCATTCACAACTTGTTCAAGCAAGCTTTACACTTCTGTTGCAAAACTTAAGAAGCCCCTGAGTATATCAGAATGAGCATATAGCACCAACTGTGATAGAAAATGACTATATATATGCTTGCAAATCTGCCAAGCTAATTACTCTCTCTTTCAGTCAGCTTTCTGTAATTAGTGATATTGAAAGAAGCAGAGAGAGAGAGTTATCCCTCCCAACCTCTAAGAAGAGTGGCACGAGCAACACGTTGAACTCCAAGTGTGAAAGCACCCATCCGAAGATTGCAATCAAAAGTTTTGCATTTGTCCTTTATGTCATGGAAGGCTTTGGTCATATACTTTTGTAATTCACAGTTCACTCGCTTCTCATCCCACATGAAACCTTGAATGTTCTGTGACATTCATCATCAAGTACCAAAACATGTCAGAATTGTCATTTCAAGAGCATTAGGTACCCAAATACCATTAACGGTTCCTAATATAAAAACTAGTTAAAAATAAGATGTAATTATGTATGTACGAACGAAGGAGTAGAGTCACACAACAAAGAAAATACCTGAACCCATTCAAAATAGCTGACGGTCACACCTCCAGCATTTGCATATATATCTGGTAGCACTACAACTCCTTTTTTAGACAGTTCCTGAAATAGTAACTTGACTTTAAGAGCTGATACGTCTCATAATCCACAAATAATACAACAGTAACAACAAAAAGTCTTGTTTCATCAGATGGGGTCAGTTACATAAACTGTATTATGTCATTATACTCTATCACCAACTAATCTTTGGATAATCCACACACAGTAAGTAAAAGTAAACTTTACCATCATACCTCATCAGCCTCGGGATCAGTAGGATGATTTGCTGCCTCAACTATAAACTTTGCCTTCACATCTTTAGCAATTTCCCTTTAAAGACAAAGCAAAATAAGTGTCACGAGTTTTATAATTTCAAACATCAATTAATTCAATCATGATTAGCAATAGTTCATGCGTTTAAACTCATCCAAACTCAGAGCAGCAAGACAAACCACATGCATCATGTAGACAAATTCTCATCACAATGCCCATAGAATGAAGTGTAAGATGAGCACAACTTTATCTTACATTCTAATAATAGCAGTTAAAGGAACAGTTAAATTAACATTGTAAATGTTGTCAGACCAAAAGTTTTAGGGTAAGGCTGATTGAAGAGAGAAGTTGTACATCTTCAGAACATCATGTCAGTTTTCTAGTTCAATTTCCCGGGGGGGGGGGGGGATTGTATAATAAGTTATGTTTATGTCATGGAAGGTAAAACAAAGTCCAAAGCTGACAATATTTTCAACAAGTAATGCAGACAAGAACCTGAAATGAGGATGAAGAATTTTGAGTGAGAGGTCAAAACCTGTTTATAACTCCGCCTAAAGCAGATGGAATTAGAACATCGCATTCATGAACAAGCAGTTCTGTAGGGTCCAAATCATCTCCGCCGGGAAAGTCCTTCAAACTACGGGTTTTTTCTTTATGCTTCAGTAATTTTGGGATATCAATTCCGTTTGGGTTCTTAATAGCACCGGTGATATCACTCACCGCAATGATCTTAGCACCTTTTTCATGGAGAAGCCTTGCTACCCATGACCCCACATTACCAAAACCCTTGAAAATGTTCCCCAAAAAAAAAAGTCAGTTTTAATAAAAAGATAATTAATTACCATGAAGAAGTATAACTTATATGCCATAGTCAATGTACCTGGATAACAAATGTCAAATTCTTTAATGACTTCCCATGTTCTGCAAGAAGTGCTTCAGTTGCAATGACAACTCCACGCCCGGTTGCTGATTCCCGACCCAGTGATCCCCGGAGATCCTTAAGTTCATAGAGTTCATTTAACTGTTTTTCTGAATTCCTTATTTAAAACAAACTATATTGTTAAAAAGCATACTTACAAGAGGCTTTCCTGTAACAATGGCCGGTGAATGACCATGAAACTTTGAATATTCATCGTAAATCCAAGCCATTGTCTGCACTTGAAAAATACTTCGTATGTTCAGTTAAAAGACCACTAGAAGAGATCACAAGTTTAAACATGTAAATATTTGTTACCAGGTTTCCCAATAAATACATGTGAAAAAAAAAAAAAATCACATTCCTTGAAAGATCCAATCACGTGCGACCCGAAAAACTACACCTAATTTACCCAGCTACTCATATTGCAATTACCTGAGCATTAGTGCCCATGTCAGGGGCTGGAACATCAGTATGAATTCCAATAAGGTCATGAATTTTTTGAGTAAAAACTCGAGTTAGTCTTTCCAATTCACTAGTGCTCAAATCTTTTGGGTTGCATCCGATTCCACCCTTGGCACCACCATAAGGAAGATCTACCACAGCAGTCTTCCAGCTCATAAGTTGAGCAAGAGCATTTACTTCATCAATATTAACCTTCAAAGTAACAAGTTAAGTGATGATTTGAGCATAAAATTCACATGATTATGTTCATGTCATTTACACATTAATCATAGACAAAAAAAATTCAATCCTGAGCAGCCTTCTAATGCATTGGCTATCTTATTACATGGATACTAATTGCAGATAATAAAATGCTGGTTTACAACTGAAGTATGATATAGGATTTTCAGAAGAAATAAAAGACTTATTGGGGTGTTTGGTTTGATTAAAAAAAACACTTTTAAATAGTACTTTTATATAAAACGGGACAAAACTTTTTCAAGTATTTTGAAAATTACTTTTAAAATCATGATTTTTTTTCCACCTTTTTAGTGTGTATGACCTTGTAAAAAACTTACTGGGCAAAGATTCCAAAAAAAGACAATGCGAGCGAAGTAGAATGAAAAAGCAAAGTAAATAAGACCCAGTTCATTAAAAATTTGCCAAGTCCAAAAGTCTTGCAATGAGAAACCAAGAAGTTTTCAAACTGAAATGAAATTTGGAAAACAACGGATAAGGAGCAGGAATATTGATATTTATCCATACAAGGTCCACGTAAACAATAAATAAATGACGTTAGATTTGACCCCCTAATTTGGGGAAATCTCAATCTCTTAAAAGGAGAGAAAAGGAGGAAGACTCTGTATAACAAATTACCTCATGATGATATCTGATCCCACCTTTCATGGGACCACGAGCATTGTCGTGCTGTACTCTGTACCCAATATATGACACCAAGCTCCCATCATCCTTCGGAATCGTGCACTCCACCTGTTTGTGAATGAAACCATAACGCAAATATCATATCACGAGCTTGACTTTACCATAAACAACTAAAAAAGAATATCACAATCTTCTCAATTTCCCAGAGACAGAACCCTACAATGTCGTCTCTCTAATGGAGAGTTTCATTTACAGAGAGAAGACAAAATTCAGAGGAAAGAAAAAGAAAACAGGGAAAAGCAGGGAACAGAACAGAGGAGGAACAGATCTTCTCAACACCTTGATCTCCCTGAAAGGGATCAACAGGCTTCTCTGCAGCTTGGAATCTATTCCGAGCAAGCGAGCGGCTTGTTGGAAATTACGGCTAGTAGCCTCAAGAGCATTCAAGATTGGTTTGGCAGACATTCTCAGAGAACAGGGGAAGAAAGAATGCGTTAGTTTGTAAGAAGATGAAGAAGGAGGAGGAAAGAATAGCTTCGAGCTTTCTGGGAAAATGGGTGGAAAATACAGAAAGAAAGATTGAAGACGGATCAACAAGAGAGAAAATCTTGAAGAGATGGAAGGAAGAACTAAACGGTAACGAAACTGATACGGATGCAGGGGAGTGGTTGTTGAGCGGCTCATTATTTATATGCAGAGCGGGAGAGAAAAAGTGGGACCTGGATTCCGTTTTACTTTTGATATTATTATTGTTATTTTCACCCTTTTGGCGGTTGAGCTTCGGTTGAGCTTCATTCAAGAGTTTTGCTGGAATTCAATTTTGATTTATCATTAATACAAATTACAACTTAATGACATTAATTAATTAAAAAAATGTGTTGGCAAAAAATTTAATTAAAAAATTGTAAGTAATTAGTTTTTGGCAAGTTTTTTTTCTCTCTTTTTTCTCTTTTTACCTCTATGCAAGATCGATTCCTAATTTGATTATTCGAGTAAGTTAATCAAATTCAGATTTTGAAATGACAAGTGTGATTACTAATTATATGCAGACCCGGCATTGTGTTATGCGTTGAAGGTTCGTTTCCCTCGTTGACAAAAATGACACTATTAAATATGTGATTAATTTAATTTTGGTTATATTTAGCAAAATATTTATTTGCGTTTGGTGGTCCAATGCCAATCTATATAGGCTTTTTGGCCAATGTAGAGTGTAGAAGTATTAAATGTTCTAATAAATGCTTTTATAAAACATAATCATTTTTTAAATAAAATTAATATCAAGTTGTAAAGAAAACACAACTTATAATACTTTTGTTGAATAAATTAGGGTCTTCGAAATGATTATGATTATTCTATTCAAATACTATAGCCGATGCTAATTATAAAATCTTATTTATAAATTATAAATAAGATCTTAGGATTGGAAGTAGTACTTAGATTAAAAAAAAAAAAGCTCATGTTTTTCTCCTTTTCTCGTTTTTTGGACAATAATAACCGCTTCTATTTTGTTGACCAGAGGTTAAAGTCTTCTCTTTTTTAAAAAAAAATAAAATAAAATGAGTAAAGGAATACGAAGAACGGAAGGCATCTTTCTTGAAATGAGAGGAAAGACAAACCAAACGTATTTAAACTTTTTTGACCAAAAACGCATTTGAACTTTAAATTACAAAATGAATTTAAACAACCAGAAAAGACGAGATAAAAACATAAATGCAAATACATATTATTTACCTAAAATAAACATAAATATATTTAATATTTTATTATTTTTATAAAAGGATAATTTTATTAAAAACATTAAAAAAAAATTAGACTTTCATAAGATAATAAAACTAGACCACGTCACAAGTTCAATGTAGAAAATCAATATAAACAGCCTAACAAATTTAAGTTACGAAAACATGACAGTAATAAAATAATAAATCCAAAATCAGGTTGACTTAAAACCCAAATATCAAATAAAACGTGGACGCTTAACACCATATTTGAGAGTATTTTTATTATCAAATTTAAACGAAACACGAAAAGGCCAATTTTAATATATATATATATAAGAACAAAATTCTCGATACATAATTTTTATTATACTGCTATATAATTACTTGATTAAATAATATTATAATGAAATCTAGCAATATTTAATTGAATTATTATGTGGGCCAAAAAAAAAAAGGATCAAATTATGATAAACATGCGTGTGTATGAAGATTAAATTAGTGTGTGATAATATTGGTCAAAAGAATAATTTTCATACAATGGATTTCATTTCAACATCAAATTTCAAAAGTTGTCATGAAATTAAATTTGCCACGAGAACTTATTTTTCAATTTTTATTAACTTGCGTCTAATAAAAAATTAGTAAAACAAATATTGCAAAGAAAATCGTGTTTCCATGGCTGTGTAATGTAAATATTTATTATACTATATCGAAATTGAATCAAAACAATAATTTCAATCAAAATCAGAAAAGATCAATATGGAAAAGTGCTATGAAATAAGGTCCTGCACAAATAATCAAATACTATGAAATATTTGACAAAATTCAGCCAGATATAAATAAAATTATTGATCCCTAAATTAAAATTGATTTTCCAGATTTAACAACAAAAAATGTTAATGTTCCAAAATATAGGGAGACGTGGTCAAAGCCATTGTGTGAGCCGTGAAGCAAGGGGATGAAGTTTTTCTTTTCTTTTTTATTTTTTCCTCTTCGTTATTTAATTTGGAATTTTGAAACAACGAGAGAAACGTTTCGCCGCGTCTCGTCTTATCTTCAAATCAAAAACGCTGAGAAATCAAGCAACTGAGTCATCAATGAGTTGGAAAACGCGGAATACAATCAATTCACGTAACAACCTCATCTTCTTAATTTACTTATTTATTATTAAATTAATTTGACATAAAAATATATTTCATTCTTTATTAAACTCATACTACTTTCCGTTCTTAATATAAAAGCTCGTTTGATTTTTATTTTGATCATAAATATAAGATTTTAATATACTTTATCTCTCATATTTATCTTTTTTTTTTAAATAGTCATTGTAATAAAAGTAGTTCTAACCAATATATTTGATTAGTAATAATATTTTAGGAAAGACAATGTCTATTTATGACAAATAACTAATTTAATTATTTTTTTTAATCTATTCAAATTAGTTAACTAACTTTTATATTAAATATGGGACGTAGTATCTTCTTAATTAGCTGGTCCCTGCACTCTATTATGCTTACTGGGCTTGTATAACTTTTTCTCATTTTACATCATTGATTTTTTTGTTTGGCCGACTGCATTACCGATTTTATATAAATATATATTTTATAAGTTGGTAAATTGATTAAATACAAAAAATTTTATGTGTTCAATATTTATAGATAGTAATACCAACAATTTCATGGTCAAGTTTTAGCGAGTATTTTGTGTCCAAAATTACTTAAAGCTTCCGTTAAAACTTTTTTAAGCATAAGATTACTAATTCGAACTCTCTATGAAAGGTATAATGGATGTGCGGATTGATTACAAAAACAAGTACATGATTCGTTTTATATGCTCAATTAATATTCATCTAATAATTTGTAAGGATGAAAAAATATAGAAATATATATGTGGATTATGATTACAAAAACAAGCACATGATTCGTTTTATATGCTCAATTAATATTCATCTAATAATTTGTAAGGATGAAAAAAATATAGAAATATAAATTATCAATTCTTAAAAGAAATAAATTTACATAACCACAGAAAAAAAAAACAGATTTGTTTAAGAACACATCAAAAGAGTTTTTCTATATTTCTATAAAATGATAATGCATGATTTGAATCATTTTGGTGTCTCGTTGATCTGATCTTTCTAGGAAGGTGAATCCTATGTAGTTGTAGCAACTTCATCTGCCTTTTTCAAACCTGCTCCTATTTCGAGTCAAGTAATAAATAAATAGATACATCCTAATGTATTGATTAGGGACATTCGTAGTGACTGAGGGGATTTTCTTTGTAAAGACAAGAGAAAATAAAAATTGATGAAAATTCATTTACAATTTTGTGTCCTAACACATCCAGATTAATGGCGATATATAACTGATGGATAAGTTTTATAATAAAAAAAACAATGAGTCACTAAAATTGTGTGTTTTAAAAACAACGAGCTGTCAAAACAGTATATGTTAAAACAAGAGACTATCAAAACTGTTAAAAGCTTTATATGATTCATTCATTATGAAAGACGCCTTAAATTTATTAAACCATTACCAACTACGGTAAATAAATAAAAATCACCATTTTACTAAGCTTAAAAATTTTGTTTTGAACTTCAAGATAATGTATAGCATAGATGTTTTGTTTTTTTTTTCCCTCTTTTTTTGCCAACATAACATAGATGTTTCGTTGCTCACTAGGCCTCTTGGATAATTAATATTAGACACTGTGGTCAAAATTGTATGAATAGTTTGAATTATTGATTTAAGTAAATAAAAGAAAATAAAGCACGTGAGTGAAATAGGAGGCTATCCATGCTCAGGTTCTTATCATATGCCTCCTAGAATCTTGGGTCAATATGTAGCCATGTGGGCCCGGTTTGCATTCGATTTCCTTTGGTTCCCTTAAAACGACACCGTTTCTAAGTCAACTTCTTCGCCTCTTCTTCACATTTCCTAAACCGGGTTTTTACCTTCTTTTTTTAAAACCAAACCAAACCGGATTTTTACTAATTTTATCATGTTAGTGATGTTTTGTGAATTTTTTTTTGTTTCTTCACCAAAAATGAATTCTAATAGATCCAATATACTCTGAATTATAACATAAATTGGCGTTCAGATATTTATATCCTTGACGAATACGAATTAAATTCTACATGAATTAACGTATGAGCATTCATATCTTTCATGAATCAACATTTATATCCTTCATGAACCTAAATTCAAGTTTACATGAATTAACGTGCAGGCATATATATTTTTCATGAATCAACATTTGTATCTTTCCTGAATCTAAATTTAAGTTTATATGAATATTATATGGACATTAATATTGTTCATGAATCAACCCTTAGTCATTCATGTCCTCTCTTTTTTATCTTAATAGAATTTTTAAAAAAATTACTTCACATTTATTTTTATTTTTATAGATAAAGTTTAAGTTTTATTTCATGATTCATTGACAGCCCACCAAATAAATATTGAGGAAAGTGACCAAAAAACAATAAAATTGAAAAATCTCAAATTAGATATTTTCACAGACATGTTTTGTTATTTGCAAGTCAATTATTGTCAAAAACCTGTTAAAGTATTGTAACGAAACTTAATTTGAAATTTTGTAATTTTCATGTTCTTTATTTATCATTTTTTCCAAATATTTTGTTATCATCATTCCATTAGATTACATATCCTACCATTACATGTGATAGATGGACTAACTTAGCTTTTAAAAGGTCCTAATATTCTTTGTTTTAATGCTCTTATTTATAAGATGTTTTAATTTGTAAATTTTAGATAGTAATCAATTCTGTTCTTGTTGGTGCATAATATAAATTACTTTAACCAATTTGTCAGAACCAAAAACTGATAGCTAACGTGTTAAGTCCATCTCAAATTGGAAACTTTTTTTCAATTTTACCTATATTAAATAAGATAGTGAAGAAGAG